TGCTGGGACTCGCCCCTTGACACCTTTCTGCTCTTTTTCAGGTGCCGCAGCGCTGGTGGTTTATTACAGCCTGCTCCATCCCAAGTCCACAGAGATCTGGCAGAGCTTCCTGGAGACAACCTGCAGTGCTGCAGCTGCTGGTGATGACGAGGTTGTTGGAGATGGCTCCCAAGCAGGGCAGAGTTATGGAGTTTCGGGAGACGGAGAGTCCTTGGCAGGGGAAGGCACCACGGCAGATCCCAAAAATGGGAACAGCTCATCACTGCTGCGATTCAGAGGGTCTTTGGAGGACAGCTGGACAAACCATCACCACTGGCTGCTGGTAAAGCTGGCCTTGAAGACAGGAGATATGTCCATGATCAATGCAGCTTTCGGAGATGGTGGCATGGCAGAGGTTTACCCTGCAGGATGGATGATGGGGAAACCCGCCGGTGCTGAGCCTGGGGCAAACCCTTCCCTCCCTGCGAGGGAAATCGTCCCTCAGGGCATTGAATCTGGTCTGACTGATGAGAAATTGCTGGCGGCGGGCAATGGAGGAGACGGCAAACCCAGCGCCGGCGCTGCGAGAATGGCACGGGAGGAAGGAGCAGGGCAGGAGCTTGGTCTTCACCCAGCTGTATCCTTTCCCAGCGGCTTCTCCCCGGATCCGGCTGAGGGCTCCTCTATGTATTTCAGCGTGAGCACGGGAGGCATCGCCTCGCCCGGCACGGGGACAGCCACAGCTACGTGCGTGGCCCTGGTGCAAAGGGACGGCGAAGCCCAACCTCCTCCAGGCTGCCCGGGAAGAGGAGGAGGAGGGGATTTATCCCTTGAGATGGCGAGCATCAGCCCAATCCTGGGCGCTCGTGCCCACAAGCATCTGCGGAGCAGCTCTTCCCTCGACGGCACAGGCGGCTGTGGGGTGCCGGGTCCCCCCAAAGAGGGCTCGGAGCTTGTGGGGCCGGAGGGTGCCCTCAGGGGGTGGCATTGCCTTTGGGACACCCGCCCTCGTGGCACACAGGGGACCGTCGTGAGGAGCAAGCTGAGGCCGCCGTGCTTCACCTCCACCCCCAAGGCCGACCCTAGATGCCCACAGCAAGGACTGGGGGAGCTGGGAGAGGGGACAGACATGTCTGGATTGCTGGAGTGACCCTGTAAATTGCTGCACCGTCACCTTGGGTCAGCACTGGGGTGGCTGCCTTGTCAGTAGGGTACGGCAGGAGGTGGTGGG